TCAGTTATAACCAAATTCACAGAAGCACACATACACATATACACGCACACACACACACGCACACATACTCTCATGCAGTTTAAAAATTATTTTAACTCTTTGTATTCTACTCGACGCTCATATTTATTGAAAACCCCCCTCTAAATTAATGTTTACAATATTTGCTAAAATGTACCAGAGTGCATTTGAACCAAGTAAGCGAGCAACCAACGGCTCCAAACATGATGTTTTTATCATTCAAATTAAATAGCAGCGTACTAAGTTAATGTGTATTTGAGAATTTGTGATTGCACTTGTGGCAAGTTTATCAAACGATGCCAACCATTTCTTATTTAAAATCCAATAGAACTGAGTGACTAAATGGCGCAATAGTTAAACTGTCCGGCAGTATTGCTGCATGAACTGGGTTCGATTACACACAAAGATCCCCTTTTATCGTTTGCACTGTGTTGTTGAAGTTGATTCTTTTAAAAACATACAATAAAGATTATTCTAAAAATAGAGTTTAATTGAAAATCAAAATATTTCTATGTGTAAAAAGATATATTCAAATAAATTTCTTTTCCACCGAATTAAAATCACACTTAGAACTTTAATTTTCTTCCTAATTGGATCGTTGGCTGTTGCACCTGTGCTGAGGTATAAAGAACTCCCTTCCATTGTTAACATCTGCTCTTAGCTGCCATTCAGAGAATAAATTCAAACATTCGAAATGAAAAAATAAATAAAAAAAACAAGTTTTACGCAAATAACAAAGTATTTACGTAAGAATAAAAAAATATATATGTATATATATGTTGGTTACTATTTTAAAAAGAAAAATAACCAATTAACTAATCAATTAAGAAAGTATTTAAAATTTTTTATTATAAATCAAGATGAAACTGAAATACGTATTTGATTTCATATTACGTATCTATATGCCACACTTTATTAATACTAGAGAAGTTATATTTTAGCGCCTTTTAAAACTTCTCAAAGGTACCGCTTAAGTCATGTGGTTCAATTCATAAAAAGATGATTTTTAAGTGTTTTACGGAATTGTTGAAGAGTGAATTTAGACTGACGAAGGTTGTGTGTTTTAGAAGATGAGTTTTTCTTTCGCTTACCTCAAGTCTGTTGTTTATCATCCATTTATTTAAATCTTTAACATAGCTGACAAATTTGTGAACTAAACTATCAAATGACACTGTTTTAAAACAAATGGGAGCAAAAGCGTGATGTTTAAGTTCAAACTTTTTGAAGATATTGAACATATCAGCTGTGTAGAGTAAAAACAATAGAGGTCCTAAAACGGAGCCTCGAGGAACCCCAAAGGAAACCACCGCGACAATGTACCTTTGAAGAGAATCCGTTGTGTTCTACCAATCAAATACGATTCAAACCAGGTATATTACATATATATGCGCACACACACCACACACGCATACACACACTCTTTTTTTCTCCTACATACACACACTCATACACACACGGGCACACATACACTACCTCTTTCTCTTACATACACACACACACTCACGCAAACACAGGCACAATCATTCAAAGTATTTAATTTTTACATTTCCATTAAAAACTTAAAACAAAATTCCTCACAGAATTTCTCATGATTTTAATAAAATTTGAAACATTTTCACAAATTTTCTGGCTAAATTTTTGTCATTTGATTGACGCTGGGTTTATATTTTACAACAGTTAGTTTCAGTCACATCTCATTTCAGGAATTTAATGGAAAATATTTTTTATTTGTATTTTTCCAGGCAAGGCAACAAAAAAAAACTGGAAAAATGATTCGACCACATGTGTGTTTTAGAAATTGGAACGCTTCCGAGAAAATGATACTATGTGGAATATAAAGATTGAATTTATCATGATGAAGATGATGATGGCACTGGTGACAAAACGATGAGACAGAGATAATATAAACAAAATAATGATGATAGTTATAATTATTATAATTAATAATAATAATAATACCATTATTATATCAGTAATATCTGAAGAAGACGGTGATGAGTGCGATCAGATAGAAAAAGTTATTAATTATAATCGTCTTGGCAAATTTGGCTGACATCCAATGATAATACGTCAAATAAACTGCCCCAGCATACTGATTACATAGCATGGAATACATTACCTTTAATATTAAAATACCTTTTTATTATAATCGTACTGCATTATAATTTAATAAATTATTATTGTTTTACATGATAAAAGCATAATGTTATTTTCTTATTCCTCACACATACATACATGTACACATTTTAATCTACAATAACAGACTCTCACACACGCACAAAACACACACACATACACGTACATACACAAACATTCAGATCAATTTAGTGTATTTAGTACAATCACGCCTCTCCAGATATAAGAAATATAGGGCTACATAGACACACACGTAGATACAAATACACAGACACAGTAATATACATAAAAGCAATCAAAAATAAACTGACACTAATAACCCCGTAGAAACACAATGAAACATTGCGTCGCAAACAAATACACACAGACAGACACGAAAAATCACACACAGACAAATAAAAAAATTACACACAGACAGAAAGAGACACAAACAAACTTACCCAGACATTCTCTAGCATTTAAATAAGGTTACGAACCAGTAAACACGCAGTCGAATCTACGGATCGGACTAAGCATTAAGTTGATGGATGTATCTTCATCGTCTCTAATACATAATAAATGAACGTTACTTCGTGTCTGATTGCTCCCTCTTCGTACATCACTTGCTTTTTGGTCTTTTTGGTTCTTTCTTTATTTTATGGGTGCATGTATGTGTGTGACTATTTTTGTGTATTTGCGTGTCTATGTTTGTTTCTATCTATGTCGGTGTCATTATGATGTGTGCGTGTCTTTATGTATGTCTGTCTCTATGTTGCTGCTTCTGGGTGTGTGTCTCTAGGTGTGCGCGTGCATGCCTGCTCGTATCTTCATTGGTTCCACTAAGTTGGTTGTTTATTGGTTCTTAGGTATTCCATATCTTGCTGAGGTGTTGACAGTTTTTTGTGGTGCAGCTCCTTATGAATTATTGTTCTTTGATGTTGTGTGGTTTTGGGCTTCGGTGTTTGTACACTCGTCCTTTATTGCATATATTGTTATTTTTATTTTCAACGTGTTCACTGTTTTGTGACGGTTGTTAAAATTTGGCCGATTTAATGACAGTTAAAAATCTGTCAAGTTTCGTTATCAGTTGTTTGAATTAATAAAAAATGATGTCAAACTTTTTTTTTCAAAATCCAAATTAAAAAAGTATGAAGAGCAAAAAAGACTACAACGACATCATTTTCAGCGGAACATTTGAATTGATGTTGATGGTGAGATTATTACAAAGAACGGCAATTGTATGTATCTCGAAGCAATGAATATATGTTGATGAGGAAACAACTAACCCAAACTGGCAACATGTGTACATATTTTTTGTACAACTACTGTATTTATTTAACTTTATTATTTTTTCACAAAGAAAGCCCAATTTCTATATAGATAAAGTTACATTTCAACAAACTTCGGCGCGTTTTAAACAATTTTGTTTATTTATTTTTCATTTAATTTCAAATGTTCAAAATTTCATTCTGCTTGGTTTTTATAATTGGAAAATGAGATTTGTTAACAAAATATAGATTTATTCTTCTCTGTAGAAAAATGTTACTATATTTCCTTCAATGCAATCAATCACACTGCAACCACCCAAAAGGTTAAACTTCTGTGAAATACTATGCGAACGAAAACCGTTTAACTGTTCAACCAAGATAGTTTAATAAATAAAATTTTAATGTCCTAAATTTTTATTTTTCAACAGATTTCTTTTTTTGGCTTTTTGTGTAGGTAATTTGCTTTTTTGTTAATTTGTTAATTCATTCGATCGGGCACTAAGTTATTCTTTCACTGACTCATTCTTTCATTCATTTATTCGTTTATTTTTTCACTCCCTCCCTCCCTTCCTCACTCACTCACTCACTCACTCACTCACTCACTCACTCACTCACTCACTCACTCACTCACTCACTCACTCACTCACTCACTCACTCACTCACTCACTCACTCACTCACTCACTCACTCACTCACTCACTCACTCACTCACTCACTAACTCACTCACACACTCATTCATTCAATCATTGCCGCTGATCAACACGGACAACTCAAACTACACTTAAACATTTCTGTATCGCATAATCCCAGACCGAAACGTGCTCTTGAAAGAGATTCTAAAAGAAACAAAATGCAAAAAAACCTCGTTGTAGAAAGAATTATTTCAAGGTTTTCAGTTGTTTGAATATGTAAACTTTATTCTGTTCGGTTTGAAGCGTTGATACGTTTGTACTGGGTTCGATTGCTGGCTTGCTACACTTGAATGAACAATTTGAAAATGATTTTTTGTAATAATCGCTCATTCACTTGTGTTAGGTAATCTTTGTATGACGTGTGTGCGTGTGTGTGTGTGTGTGTGTGTGTGTGGCGTGTGTGTGTGTGTTGTTGGTACCAGTGGAAAATAATTATGAGAGATTGTTTGTTGTTTCAATAAGTTCAAATGATTTTTTTAACTAAAAAGCGAAAGCGAAGTGGAATTATTTATTAATGGGCAAACCATTCGATTCTCTATATTTCATTCCTTTTAAAATGTTCACATCGCACCTCCCTAAAAAATAAAATCTCAGAGATGAATTTCTTTTCGAAATATTGAAAGGCCACCGGATGACATTCATTCACGCTTAATGACCTTTATCTTTCGATAAAAATAAAAATTGAACATTGGAAGTATTTTATCGACGGTTTAATATTTTAAAAATTTTATAATATTAAATTTGAATAGTTCAACCAAAAATTAGTAAAATAAATGAACCATTCAAATCAATTAAACAGTGGAACGCCAAATACAAACAAAGCAAGCACACAATTGCATACATAAGAATACATTCAGTTTTAAGTTAAATAGTTCACTGAACCAGAGGTGAGCAAACTAAGGTGTGTGTTTGTATCATGTTTTTATCATGTTTTTATCATGTTTGTATAATGTTTGTGTCATGTTTGTATCATGTTTTTATCATGTTTTTATCATGTTTGTATAATGTTTGTGTCATGTTTGTATCATGTTTGTATCATGTTTTTATCATGTTTTTATCATGTTTGTATAATGTTTGTGTCATGTTTGTATCATGTTTGTATCATGTTTTTATCATGTTTTTATCATGTTTGTATAATGTTTGTGTCATGTTTGTATCATGTTTGTATCATGTTTTTATCATGTTTTTATCATGTTTGTATAATGTTTGTGTCATGTTTGTATCATGTTTGTATCATGTTTTTATCATGTTTTTATCATGTTTGTATAATGTTTGTGTCATGTTTGTATTATGTTTGTTTTTTGTATTGTAGGCGTGTGTGAGCACAAAACAAAAACAATCACTAAACTTGGACAGGAGGCGATTCAAAGTTACCTACCTATTGTCAATTATTTCTTTTATAAACTTTAATATAATTCCAGCCATGGCTTGCCTGTGTTCAACTAACTCAGACTTCATCAACCTACGTTCGACTAACTCAATCCCTAGCTTGCCTATTGGTTGTTAACACAGCTCATTTCACACAATTTTTATTTGTAATTTTATTTTACCAATGAATATTAAAATTAAAAGAATAGACATACAAACACACAGACAAACATGCAAACGCTATATAACTCTATATAGCCTTGCAACACTATATAACACTATATATAACAACAATAACAACAACATTAACAATAATAATAATTCATTACCGCTATAAAAACTGACAATTCAATCGGCGAACCAATAAAAACTTTAAAATAAATGTGTGCCCATTGTAACACTCGATCAGTTCATGCCAGGGATAAAAGAGGAAAAACGTCATTCGTCCTTATCTTTCAAGTTGAGTGTTTGTGGAAGAAAATTATTTCCCGTCAAAATTTTCAGTTTTCAACACTCCCTTTAGATCGAAAAATTAATTAGGTTCTTGGCAAGAAACGCTGGAATAAGAATTTATTAAAAAACAGACACACGTTCAGACACACAATTACACACATACACGTACAAATGCTACACACACACACACACACACGCACACACACATACATACCAGCACACCACGCAAACACATACGGACACATATACACGTGTGTGTGTGTGTATGTGTGTGTGTGTGTGTGTGTGTAAAAACCCAGGAAGCTGATATTTGTTTATAATGACGTTGATGTATGCCTGCTATCTGCCGCATCATCTGATCTCCATTAACTTTTTTATGACAAAAAATAACATGGAACAATATTTTCATCAATTGAGGTTTTATTTAAAATAATTAATAATAATAACATTATTATTATTATGTTATTTAAAATAATTATTTATGATCATAATTATTTCATTATTATTTAAAAATAATCCAAACCTCAACTTAACAATAAAAAAAACTTAAAAATAGTCCTCTTTGATTAAAAGTGACCAAAAAATAAGCAAAAAAATTATGAAGCGCTTAATTTATAACTTTCATTATCTGCTAAGCGCATATGTTCCAGTATCACGGTGTATATTTATTAGCTTTTTATAGGTAATATTAGTTTTTCGGGTTTTTTCTGTTTGTTCTTTTTTTCTACTGATTTGTTGATTAGGTTGGTTCAGGATTTATAATGCTTCCTAATGTCGCGAATAGTTAGTTAGTAGCTGTGTTTGTTTGTTTGTTGGTGTGTTTGTTGTTGTTGTGTTTGTTGTTGTTGTGTTTGTTGTTGTGTTTGTTGTTGTTAAATTTGTTAGTATTGTGTTTGTTGTTGTTGTGTTTGTTGTTGTGTTTGTTGGTGTTATGTTTGTTGTTGTTGTACTTTAGATATATATATATATATATATATATATATATATATATATATATATATATATATATATATATATATATATGTGTGTGTGTGTGTGTGTGTGTATGCTTATATATATATAAGGGAGAGAGAGAGAGAGAGAGAGAAGGAGAGTGAGAAAAAGAAAGAGAGCAAAAAAGAGTGAAAGGCAAAAATGAAATCAAGTCAGTAGCAAAACGTCCTCAAAAACAATGAAATAACGGAAACAAACACAAAAGACAAAAAGAAAAAAATGACGTCAACATAGAACTTTAGTGTTGAAAACCAATTGAAATTAAAAGTAAGAAGCGTGAAGCCAACACCTAAAAATTTTAATTAATCGGTTTTTTGCGTCTTTTTAATTTAGTTCATACACATAAATTTTATCTGCAAGTTTAGTTCATTACATTCAATCATTCTATAAAATATTTATTCATTCATTCATTCACTCATTCATTCACTTACTCATACATTCATTCATTCATTCATCCATTCATCCACTCATTCATTCATTCATTCGTCAGTTCATTTGTTTTCCTGTTCGTTCGTTCATTATTTCATTCATATATTTGTTCATTGTTCACAGAAACTCATCGGTCTGTTGTTGAGTTCGTTGACTTGAAATTATAGTTAATCAAATCGTTTTTTTTGTGGAAAAAACAAATGTTTTTTGTCAATGTTTTTTTTAATTTTTTCCCTTAATTTTTATGTACACTCGTATAGTTAATGATCAGCAGCCTGAATGAATGTGTACCTGCTTGTTTATGAATGCAATTAAAAACATGCATGTTGGTTTGCATATTTGATGTTATGTATGTTTGTTTGTTTGTGTGTGTGTATGTGTGTGTGTGTGTGTGTGTGTATGTGTGTGTGTACGTTTTGGCCGATATAAATTTACGTATTTTGTATTTTGGGTTTACGTATTTTTGGGTTTACGTATTTTGTATTTTGGGTATTGTATATGTTGTAGGTGTTGCAGATGTGTATAGGTGTGTATATTTATTTTACTCTATTTTGGAAAAAATACTTTTATGAATACTTTAAAAATACTTTTTAAGAATACTTTTATCAATCCAGAGTTTCCGGGTTCGAAACCAGTGAATTCTATTACCGCTAACAACATTTGTCTTGCCAGTTGTAACTCGATATACTAGCATATACGTACATACGTAGGTAATGAATGTTTTTAAGTTTTGTTTTAGAACGTAAAATAGCATTAAGTAGGGCATAATAAAATGCACTGGTTAGAACGACTGGCTGGATATTAGGTACTAGATTATGAGCATAAATACAGTTTCAAAATGAAAAACACTAGTAAAAAAGAAAAAATGAAGAAAAACTGTAAAAAAAACGAAAAAAAGTGAGTGAAACTAATACACATTGTTATAGTTTTTCTGTGGAAAAAATATTCTTACATGGATCATGAATTATTTGCATATGGTGGATTGTTATGCCATGGTATGGTAAACTGAAATGCCAACAATTGATGTATCTGTATCTATGTACACATTTTTCTTTAATACATTTGTTTGTTTGTTTGTGTGTGTTTGTTTGTGTGTGTGTATGTGTGTGTGTGTGCATTAATACATGTATGCCTGTGTGTTTGTATGTGTGTGTTTGTGTGTGTGTTTTCTTGCATAAGCTTGTATTTATGACTTTGTTGTCGGTATTCCTGTTTTTGGAATTTCAAAAAATTATGTTTTTTTTTTTTAAAATCTAACTTTTTTAACTACGCCAATTTTATTAAAATGTTTAAAAAAAATTTGAACTGTGATGTGTATATAATGGTTTTAAAGTTAGACAAAAAAAGATTACAAAAGAACTTTCTTTCATTAAGTTGTAAAC